AAATAGAATATAGTTGAACTTCACCATATTATATTATAACCATAAGATATTTTTTATTTTTTATCAGGCTTATCATTCTAGTATAAAAGATTTCCAGCAACTAACTGGAAATATGGCAATACTTCCAATAAAGTCTCAATACAAAGGTCCTGCACCTTTGCTCAGCCCTACAACTGCTGAAATGGATATAATAGACGAGTCATTATCTTTTTTTAAAGCAAATGTATTTTTTAGATCTTATGAAGTTAAGGTATTCCATATCTTTTTGTGGTATAATACTAATACATTGTTTAGATTATATCTATTTATATAGAGAATATTGATAATGTTTTAGAGTGAAACTGATCGCGTTGTGATTTACATTACTTTATACATAACTGAGTGCTTAAAAAAACTTCAGAAATGTCAAAATAAAGATCAAGGAATGTCTGAAATGTATTCATTGGCACTTTATAGATTCGATATACCTGGAGAGGCTGGATTTCCATTAAACTCAGTTTATGCTAAACCGTCATCAGCTGGTGAAGCAGGTAGTTGGACGATTAAACCATTTATTCTTCAAGGTATACTACTATACTAATTTTAAAAAATTGTTGTTTTTAAATAGATGTTATGCGACAATATTTGGAACAATTACGAAAAGAAACTGGTAGACGAGTTTGCGAAAAAGTATTTTCAACTGATGATGGCAAACCATCTAAATGGTGGTTGTGTTTTGCTCGTAAGAAGTTTATGGAAAAATCATTGCTTGCTCCAGGTCAATAATCTATTCAGAAATTAATAAGAACTCGTATTAAAATATTTATTGGCTAAGCAAACTATTGATACATACTTTATTTTTGTATTAATGTCTGCTTTTTATCAATAATTATTAAAACATAATTTTTATCAATTTATTATATTATAATATAGTAATAATTGTTCAAATATTTTTATTTAAATATCAAAAATGTTAATCTTCTCATTAGTTTTGGTATACTTTTATAAATATATATTATTCAATTTTATTTATATTTATAATTTTTTCATAACTGTTTGTAATTTAAAAATATATACAAATTATATTTAATTTTTTTTTAAATATCTACTTGTAGGTAACCACTCTGCTGTGCAGTATGTGTTGAATGCCTCTTGTAATCGTGTAGGTCATTGTAATGTATGAAGTATCTTAAATTTTTATTCAATGATAAATCATTGTTTGCAGAAAACAATTTTAAGCGTAGACAGTTTGTCATTTACATTAGTAAATTAGGTAATTAATTTAAATTAATCATCTCGTTGCAACATAGGCTAGGCCATTGGGTGTGGGGAGGGTACTGTAGATTTTTGAGTTGAGTAAAGATTTGTTGGTACACGTGTGTGGCTTTTGGACTTTGGTATAATTTGGGATTCAGCAACCGTAGGTTTCTACCATGCCCGTGCCCGGAGGGGGGGAGGGGTCTCTCTTCAGACAGTGTAAACTGCCTGAAAAGTGATGTACTGATGATCAGGATTCAAATGTCTCAATCGATGCCTATATCTGTCTGGCCATTAACCCCCCCCCCCTATTTTATTATATACTATAATATACTATGCTATTACTAATAAGGTAAGAATTATGCTGTTTAAACAGGGAATAGCTTAAAAAAATCTAAATATTTTGAAAATGTCATTGCGTATAGTATAATATAATAACATATTATGTAAAAATGTATGGAATGAGGAAATGCAAATAATCATTGGTACCATAAAAAAATTCATATGTTTTAAAATATAGTGCTCAGAAAATTAGTGACTAATCCTCCCCCCATCAAAAAAGAAAATTTTTAATTTATTCTCAAGGATGCTAAAATATATTACCTAATAATACATTTCCACATTTGCCTTAGCTCCAATAATAATATATTAAGGGTAAGTTATACCTATATGTGTTGTCCTCGTTTTACAAAATGTACAACAACAAAAACTATATAAAAACTATCTTTGCTAATCCATAGTAACACTTATCTTTCTTCATTCTAGTTGCAAATTTCCTAACTATTTAATTTGTGCCTATTTATCTTTATTATTTATAATTTTAAATATCTATAAATACAGCTTATGGAAAACTTTGTAGGTATTCAATTTTTAAAATTTAGCTTTTTGGTAACCCAAGTTATTAAACAACTATTTTAATAGCAATAATATTTTTAAAAAATGTTTATTTTTTCCTCTCTTATTTAAAAAAAATCTTAGAATTTTCAATTTTGACCTTTTAAAAGTACCAACTACATCCAATTTGTTACCAGAAACCTATGAAAATTGATGATTAAAGCATTTTTCCTACTAGAAAAAGAATAAACTTTATTGTAAAATCAATAAATTTACATTCATCGCTACACTTAGAAACTAAGAATTTTTTTTTTAGTACAAAATCTTGTTGAAGAGACAGTTGCAGCTTCTCACCCTCCCATAAGTTCATTATATCTAAGTATTACCTTTGTAGTACCATTGATTACAAATACTAGTATTTATAATCAAGTGTAGAATGAAATACTGGCCACTAACTTTTTTTTATAGGTATTTATCTAGAGTATTTGTATTTGATTTATGACAAGATTAGGATATACTGATATAGGTAGGTATATATATAAAAAAAAATAAACACATTTAATGATTATTCAAAGCATCATATTCATTCATCAAAAATAACGCACAGCCTCTATAGATACAATAACAATAAGTTTTTGCCTATTCATTTTAATTGCAATTGGCTGTCATTTTATTTAAAAGTAAATTTTATACAAGATGACAAAATTTCATTAAGTATGACATAAAATAGGTAACAATAAATTATTTTGTAGTTAAAATAAAAATATCAATAGTAAGTTATAATAATGGGATAAATATGAATAATAATAGTATGTATATGTATATTATTACGTATACATATTATATATATATATCAAATATAGGTATAGATATTGATAAACTTCTAGATTTAGCCATGTAGGTATAGGTATATATAGTAAAGTATTTATAAGACAAACAAGAGACAAATGTTAAGCGATATAACATAAATAAAAATGGTTAATTTCAATATCATATGAAATATTTGAATACATATAACATATTATTATAATAATTATCTAAATTATAAATCTTTATTTTAAAAATAAATATTCAGAAGTACGCAAATTATGTAGGTACAAACATAAATGTACCTACCTATTCTTATAATTTAATTAAATTGCAAAATGAAATTACTTGGTATTTCTAGGTATAGGTATAGTTAATACCCAAATGATGATAACTCATTATATTTATTAATACTTTAAGTAAGTACATGTATTCAAATATTCACTGGAATGTAGCTTTCCATTTACATATTTTTTTTTTTCAGATTGACCTACTAAATGTTTTTACATTATTAATAACATTTTCTAATAATAATAGTGATGTATACAATTATAAAATTAAAAATCATATTATATTGAATTTACAGTTCAGATATATTTTCTTTCGGTTTCGTTTTTCCAGTCCTGAAATAATAAAACAGATTCCATTAGTCATTAACAATATTTTACTTTATAATATGATGTATATATATGTTTATTATTAATTTTACATTAGAGTGGTCTTTATATTAGGTTAGGTTGATACCTATCCCTATGCTCTATGGTTAAGACTGATAGTCGGATCGACTATAGTAGTAGAAATAGTAGAATAGAGATTTACAGAATGGGTTATATACAGAAAAGTTATTAGTTAAATTTTGTTTTTAAGGTCTTCTGTCATCGTTATGATCAGGGAACTAAATACTGTAATGTTTAGCAGGGATGGGGGATAAGGGATTAGGGAATTTTAGTATGAGTGTTGTTAACAAAACAAATCAACATGGTTATTTATTTATTAAAATTATTCTTATSAAGTTTAGTTTTGTGAATATGAATTACGAGATCATATTTTATTTTTATTTGACTTGAAAATACAATTGACCGGTGATGGCGTGATAAAGTTTCGAATCCAGACAATTTGTCTGGGTAGGGAGTGTATATGGTGTATTAGATAATATTATGACGTAGATATTTTATCTTTATATTATTGTGAAAATGAAAATGTGCAATGCCTAATTAGGTAAGGATTATATAGGTAGGTATATCGTTTTATGGTGGCGTCGCGGAAGCAATGCGCAAGCAGTTCCCGCGGCGTCGTCTGTTCAAACTGAAAAAAAGGTAGTTACATCGTACATGAGTACATGACGTGTTGGTAATTTTTAATAATAATTAATAATTATGGATCGTCACCCAATTTGGGAATCACTGCTCTAGATTCTAGAGTCTATAGCAGCTTATAAGTTTGTATGAACATAGGGCCAGATTGAGTAAGGTTAGAAAAATATTTTTCTTTAATAAATAATAACATGATTTTATCATGTTCGTTGACTGTATTTTATTATAAACTTAGGTAGCTATTATTAAAATCGTGGCGCGACTTCGCTTCTACTAGTCCAAAAATCGGGACCTATATGAGTGCTGGACAATTGTGGCCCGGGTAGAGACAATTACTTGGTCGATTAAATACAAAAAGGCCCCTCCTCCATTTATGTACAATTAGTAAACCTTAGGCCTTGGACGTACTTTTTCAATCAATATGAAGGAGGTCCACAGCCGGCGATCGCCATCATTTCACCGACTCAATGCAACTTATTTGACCTAACCGACCTAACCGCTACCAGTACTGGATACAAGCCGTAAAAAATTGCCCATGGAAATGTATTTTAATCAATAACATACAATAACTAATAATTATGATAAATATTATAAAATATGTATATTTATATATCCAATATATTTGAGCAAGTTGCATCTTAATGTAAATTTTTTTTTTTTTAAGAACTTTCAGAATAAAACTATTATAGTTCAACAATTACAGATTGATACAATGAGGAATGAGGATGCATATAGCTCAACATTAAGATACGTGACAGATTTAAATATAACAAAAAACAACAGAAGATCTACATATTATACTGTTGATACAAATAATAATAATAATATGAAAATTAATTACCAAAATAATCTAAAAGTACTCTTTATATATATAAATAAATTTAAATAAATGTTTAAAAATTAAAAATTTTAATTTTTAGAACTTACGATTTTGAATAATAATATAAAATCGTAGGCACTACTCAGTAGGTACTGAAGTACCAATTACCACGGATCAAGATATACTATCTATGTACCTACGTGCAATAATTACCAAGGTGTACTGTAGTGTTTATCTCAAATCCAACATAGTAACACGACTAACATGTATTAATTTTATATTGAATATTTGTTTTATTAAATATGACTCAATAAATTGCATTTTATTGCCCAATTATTGATAAAAATGTTAATATTGTTACCGATTTGCCTAATTTTCTATAATTTAATATCTATTTAATTTATATATTGTTGTATTTATGGTCTTATAAATTAATTGAGGTATTTGAGTTATAACTTATATTGAACGAAAAAATTCTAAATAAATAATTATCTAAATCTAAATTAATATAAAAGATAAATTATCATTTTAATTTGTTGTAAAGAAAAGGCAACCAAAACGTCCAAAATGATATATTTTTCTATTGTGTTTTCAGTTGGTTTGTATCCAGAGGCGCCGACTTTTAGATATTAGCGCGGGGGCAAACTCTTCTATTAAGTGAGAAAAAATTCTATAGTATGCTGTAGTTTGCTTACCGAGAGGAGTAATTACCAAATTGTCCCTTAACTCTATTTTAATACTCCTCTAGGGTGCTATAAATATATTTGTTTATAATTTATAAATCATATTATTTGAATTGAAAATTTTTAGTTTATATACTATAATGGTAATAAAATCAGTTCCGTCTCTATATTTCGGCAAAAATTGAAAAGACAGATGTATTTTTAGACAAAATATAAAACCAAATAGTAGTGAGCGTCGAGCGATCTATATAGTATTTATAGATCATATTTAGGCAATATAGGTACAAATATACAATCGTCGATGTTCTAATGAATATTTTCATGTTATAATCTGGTATTTTAACCAAATAATTATTATTGTACACAACGGGGCACGGGGGCGAAATAATACTTTTGCCCCCGTTAAATCAATGTACGGGGGCGATCGCCCCCTTTGCCCCCGTGGAGTCGGTGCCTATGTTTGTTTCTATTTTGTGGTTACGTCACGGAAAATATAGGTGGTACGTCATAAGTTGACGCTCACGGTCGCTTAACAAATCGAGGTAGTGCAGTGAAAGCGCGAGCTTAATAATATGTCTATGACACGGACTTATTGATATATCTTTGACAGGTGGTCTATGATAGTAACATTTTACATTGATTAATGATTATATTTTATCATTTTAGCTAGAATGATATTTTAATTTTAATATTTTATAAATATAAATTTGTATACATACCATCCAGATGTACATGGCTTTGTGATGTCATCAGTTTCTAAAACAAAATTTATTTATCTTAAGTTTAAAATTTGACATTAATTTATGTATTTTGTATTTCTGTCCAATTATATTTTACAATTCTTAAAATATGCAAATTTTAATGTGTATAATATATTGTCGCTAAGGTTGTAACTTGTAAGGTGAGTTTAAAACAAAAAGAAGTTATGTATCTACCTATAATTAGGTAGGCAATGGGTTATAGATGAATAATTGAAATAAAAACTGAAAAGTTGTGGATAGTTGGCACTCATTTAACAATTTTTTGAAAACGCTTATATAGTAATTACTTTAAGTAGGTACAATCTAAATTAATAATTAGGTACCCTAATTTAATAAGAAATATATTGCAGTTTTATTGTAGGTAGTAGGTACCATAGTTAAAGATAGAATCAAAAAATAAATCTATACAAATAGAAGTAAGAAAAAAAAGAACTTATTTAAAATACATTTGGGTGAATACAAAAAATAAATCTATACAAAATTATGTATCTTTGTAAAGTACCTATTAATTTATGAGTGTGTAGTTCTATCTACAACCGGGGCTGATAACCAGTATAGGTACCTACTAAAATAGTATTATCGTAAAACCATTTTTATTTTATACGTTATTTGTTTATAAAAGTTACACAGCACAATGATAGCAGTACAAAAGTATTGAGTTCAAGGAACCTATCAGCATCTATAGATCTTAAAGAAAGCAGTCAGCAGAAATTTAGAAACTGTTTTACTACTTTTACTTCATTGTCCAAAGAAGGTAAATTTATTAGTTAAATTCATTCAAATCACTACATGAGCACGTGTTATAAACTTATAAATATTCTTTTAAGTTTTAATGCACTAGGTCAGGGGTCTATAATCCATGGCTTGGCTTGTATTTATTTGAGGMTCTCAAATTTCTTTTAATCATAGTAGGTATGCATATTGTAATCTTTAATACAGATTTTTATTACAAATGTGGCCCAAGACATTAAAAAAAATCTCTCGATGGCCAATGTAGACATATTGTCTGGTTTAAGATCATTACATTAGATATTAAAAAAATTATATTGCATTTATTGCATGTGAATTTTAGGTAGGTACAACATACAAGTACTTGAGTAAAATAAGTTAATAACTCATATTTTTGGAAAATTAGAAATTTTATTTTAACAATTTTACTATAGAAATTGTCATGTGCTATATGCCTATACCTATCAAATCTTGCATGATGTCTATTTTATGTATTTATTTTTTTTAAAGGGGGGGGGTTTGTAAGCAGGGTTATTGTGGTCAAAAAATAAAAATAAAAGTCATTCCTGAAATAGGAGTCTGCACACGCCTATACAACACAATTAAATACAACTTAGTCCAATAAACATATTGCTGACAGTTTGTAAGTTAATATTTCTTATATTACATTATTAGTTAGGAGTATGGTGCTACTATTTATTTTAAAATCACTTGTTACTATTGCTCAGTGTCCCGGCCGTATTTGTGTCGAGGGGCCTCGATATTACTAAAAGTATAATATTTCACTACTTATAAGCATTTTTATCATTTTTATTTAATAACATGTTTGGGGGCCCTTCTGAAGAAATACATCCGGGGCCCTTTAAGTACCAGGCCGACACTGCTATTGCTATGTATAACTTCTTAAAGACTTAAACCTTTGACATGATATATTATACACATTTTATAGATTATAACAATTTTTTATTATATAAGAATACATTTAAGTGATGAAAACTGTATGTACATAATTATATATTATATATATTTATGTTGGTAAAAAACTAAGTCCAAGTACCTATGCAGGTAGGTTCCTATTTTACTTAGATATGTATTTACCAATTTTAAAGATGCATAATTTTTAATGGCACACATTTTAATGTATTCAGAATAATTCAACTTTGTTTAGTACAAACTCTTGAGTTATTTTATATCTTTCAATAGGTAATTAATTTCCAAGAGGATTCATTAAAAATTCTCATTTATCATGTCATTATATGCTTAAATTATATGTATTCATTAAAATTATGACTTATTTTAAGATTTAAATTTTATTATTAAAGAAATGTACCTTGGTTTTTATTGAATATTTACCCATAGGTACCTATGGCTATTTATAATATTATAAACAGGTAAGTGTAGGTATTGTGTATACAATTTTATTTATTATATACTGTTATAATAAAATACTAAAATGTGTTCAAATTAAAATACTGATATAAGTATTAATATATGTATATATTATATTATATTATACACTAAGTATTATATTATTAATCATATAGACTAATTTTTTTGGAGATAAAAGTTAGTATTTCCACAGTAAAGTCTTTAAATGGCATAAAACATACATGTTAACATCAAGTACCTATACAATGCACATTACTTGATAACTCAAAAAAATACTAAATATAAAAAAAATACATAACTGTATGAATACCTAATTTAAGCATACAAGTAAGTTTAGCGCTGGCCGCTGAGCATTCTAAACAAATAACGCTTATAGTTTTAATTATACAGGGTGTCCCAAAGAGATCTGACATTCTGACAAATGAAATAACTTTTGTTCTAATCAATATTTTTTAAAAATTTCTTTTAAATATAATCCATAGACACTTGCGCTACATTTTTATAACACATTTTTTATTTTTTAATACTGAAAATAAAAAACTTAAAAATTGATAAAATTTTTTTTCGAAATATTCAATATAGCCAATTTGTAAATCTGATTTAAAAAAAATGTATATGGTAAAAACACTTATTTAAGTCAAATGGCTGATTTTTTACAATTTTTTAAATATCAATATTTTCGTTAAGTAAATTACGATCTAGTTTATGTTAGAAACATTTTAATTTCAAATAGTATAAAGTTTTTTAAAAATATTTTATAAGAAAATKTTTAAATAGGTGCATGTTAAAATATAATAATTTTTTTTATGGCTTTTATTTTAATAATATGTGATGTATAAACTATAAATATAAATTACTATAATTAACTATAATTTACTTGACGAAAATATTGATATTTAAAAAAATTGTAAAAAATCATCCATTTGACTTAAATAAGTATTTTTACCATATAAATTTTTCTAAAAATCAGATTTACAAATTGGCGATGTTGAATATTTCGAGAAAAAATTTTTATCATTTTTTAAGTTTTTTATTTTCAGTATTAAAAAACAAAAAATAAAAAATGTATTTTAAAAATGTAGCGCAAGTGTCTATGAATTATATTTAAAAGAATTTTTTTTTAAATATTGATTAGAACAAAAGTTATTTYATTTGTCAGATCTCTGTGGGACACCCTGTATAGGTAAGTAAGTAATTATAATGAGAATTCACTTATTGAGTATCAATAGCTAAATGAGATAAATGTTTAAAACTATTTGTCATTTAAATTTTTCTTTTTAAATTGTATTATTTAATAATTTGATTATTAACCGGTATTTATTTGATGTTGAAAGCGCCAGTCATGCTCGCGTAGATCTATTTCTGTATCGTCGTCCATACTAATTTCACACTTCAATTCCGGTTTTGATGCAGCCACTTGCAACTCTACCAATCACCACAAAAAAGCGTCTAAATCTAATTACTAATATAAGTATTACTACCTAGGTTCTAAATCACTAACCTAGATTAGATCTTAGAACTTATTTATCTAATGCGCATTATTAATATAGTMGAGTTTCGATAACTCAAATTTTTTCTTGATCCTTGAAGTGTTTTATAGTTGTGTTTGAGGCAGTGCCGCGCCGTTGACAGGAATTAAATATTATAGGGGTCAGGGGTGTAGCAGTGTAGAATTTACCATTATAATTATGTACACATTAGACAATAAATAAATTTATATTCTTTCTATGTTGTAAGGGCTGGGAGTTGAACCTCTACCCTCGCGTCTACGGCAATGGTTTAAAAGTATATAATTCGAAATATACATAAGTCGAATTTATTTATATTATCTTTGAGATTCGATTTATCGAAACTCGGCTCGGCTGTATTAAAAAAAAAAAAATGTATATAATTTAAATATATAAACGTAAATACTATTTAAATTGTATTAATTATATATTTAGAAATATTAAAAAAATTATAGTTTCAATAAAACGTCTTAAGACCAATTTATAGGGGGCGGGGTGGTGGATGAATATTAAAGGTTTAAACTTAGTATTTGCATATAGTTTTAAATTGATAATTAGTAGTTGAAATATATATTAATTATTTTAACTAGGTACATATTTTTTTAAGGGGGAGTCAAGTGTCGTCTTTGTTTTACTATTTTAGCGAATTATTGACCTATTATAATATTTAAAACTAAGAATATCACCAAGCAGGATATTTTTATTATTTTTATTTTTCAGCAAATTGTGGTACCTAGGAATTTTATAATATCTATAAAAAAAATTTAACTGCTTACAATTTGTTTTAAAATAAAAATGATAAGATTTAATAATTTATATTTTTAAAAAATTACTCAAATATTAAAAACAACGAGAATACAATTGATTATTCTAAGATTAAAATTTGCTATGTTACGTATTTATAGGATGGAGACAGCAATAACTGAGTCGTTCTTTTAAAAGGTTGTGGAAAGACAATTTTAACTACATATTAAGACATATATCTAATATCGATGCATTAAAATGTATTAACTTAATTTATTATTGGTAATTAGTATATTTAATTAGTATAGTATAATTCATAATTCAAATACAGTTTTATTGATATCAATGAAATAATAAATTAGTTCAGAACCTTTCGTCCCGCTTGGAGATGAGGCTGCTTTAATCTAATTGTGTGAGCTATACAGTAGAAATTATTTATAAATCAAATTTACTTTTGTTTCATGCATTTGGTATTGATAAATTACTTACCTTGTTTTGAATCATTTTTTGACGGTCCTCTAATTTCTTCAGAAGATCCTAAAACATTTCATTGATATTATTTATCTAGAAAATTGATATTTGAATGTGTTTTGTTATTGAAAATTCAAATATTCAATCAGAGTCTTATTTTAAAAGCATGCAATGGTTATTAAAATATAGGTTTAAGATGAAAATAGAATTGGAATAGTTGAGAAAAATACAATGAGTTAATATGTACAGTTGAAGATGACCTATATTACATATCTAATGCACGTAATACCTGTAATGTGTGTTGAAGTTTTTTTATTGATTTCAAATCCATTAGGGGCGTCGTTAGAAAGTTTTCTTAAACATTCGTTTAATTCGTTTTCAGAAATACCTTTACTTGCTAGCTCTTCAGTATCGAAAACCATTCGTTTTTGTACAATTCGCGTAACAAATATATTTCCATGCTCATCTGTACGTTCCATATCCTCTTGAAATTCTCCAGGTGAAAAGTATTCTACAAAATCTTCTATAATTTTTTCTTTTTCAGGTCCTTTGGCTGTTACTTTATGAATTTCAGCGGGTAGTCGTATGACCTTATGAGTGAATTCTGTTCCATCTGGGTCTCTATTAAATGTTTCAAAAGTTTCATGTTCATCAAACCAATCATGTTTACTTCCAGTTTTGTCAAGGCCTTCCATGCTGGAGACCATAGTGTTTGAACCTCCACTTGTGAAACTAGAAGACATATTGGATCCAGTTTCACAGTGGTAAGTTGCATTCGTTGACGTCGAACTTATTGGGCCTAGTGAATCATTGCTACCTAAGATTAAACTGTTTCTGTATGATGACTCTTTTGAACGGTCATCCATAATTGGGCTACTAAAACCACGACTTGAAACACTTGAGTTCATGCAGTCGTCATAATCATTCTGTTTCCCTTCTACAAACTCGGTATTTGACATATGTTCAAGAGAAGCGGACACTTTCATTTCGGTAACAATTGTTTTTAAGTCAAGTGATTCTGTACTAGTCAAATTATCATCTTCTGATAAATGTTTTTCAGAATTATCTTCGTTTTTTTCTAAATTTATCTCAGCTTCTTTGATAATTTCATTGATTTTAAACATTTTTTCTTCGTCATCTAATGATTTTTCGGTAGCTAAAGCTTTGTTTTCAATCAACTCAGTTTTAAAACAAGCTGCTTCAATAGTTTCAAAATCTTTAAGAGAAGCTAATGATAAATCATCCTTTCTGCTATTAGAAGAGCTTGTAGTTGATGCTAAAGATCCCGAAGACTTCGCTTTCATTGATTCAATTCTTACCAACTGTTCTAACCTTTCAAACTCTTGTAGTGAACTCACCGATATATTATCATTCTCTAATGATTTTCCTAAGTATTTTTTACTTTCTGGGGTGCTACTAAATGATTCTTTCATGCTGCCAAAACTATCTATTGAATGGCTGATTTGACTTCCAATACTCCCAATTTTACTGCTTTGCAAATCATCAGTATCTTCTTCTTTGATATCTTCAAGAGGGGGCCGTTCATAATCTATATTATATGCATAAACTTCGTTTATAGTGTTGTCATCTTCAAATTGAAGTTCTACCCATTTTTGATTTGCAAATTCTAATTCAAGTTGACTTTTTAATCCTGGACTTTCAGAGTCTGATTCATGCTGAGGTGAACCCGTACTGTTTAAATTTGTATGAATTATTTTTGTTTTTTTTTGAATGTGTATTGCTTTTCCTTCAGAATCCTCTTCTTTAGCTTCTTTTCCTATTTCTTCTATAACTACAAATTCATCTTCTGAGCTGTCAATTTTTTCTTCGATATTCTCCACTAACTCGAATGATTCACTCAAAGAAACAGATTCTTTTTCTTCGGTTTCTTCTACTTTTTCAAAAATTGTTTGTTCCTCACCAGTCCATGAAGGTTCTTCATGTGGGTCATACTCTTCATTTATTATGTATTCTTTACCTTGATCTGTATCTGATGATTCTCTACTACTTATTGATGCAGGTGTTTGTGGGGTTGATGATTTAATTTCTAGTTCCTTAGCTTCAAGATCTAAGTCTGGGTAATGAAATCCTCGATCAACTAAAGGAGCCATATGTTCTGTTATCATAATATTAGGAACAGTATCTGTAGAATCGTTTAATAAATCATCCTCATCTTCTGAAAAAGGATCTTCTGGTATTGTGGGGGGTAAAGAAGCTGGTATTGCTGGTGATACATGAGGTACCATTTGAAAAGCGGCATCTGATTCGGCAATATCATCTATGTGTTCAAAACTATGTTTATCGGATATACTTCCATGCATATCAAAATTGTGTTTATCATGTGTTGAAGAAATTTCTTTTTCTGAATCTAAATCATGTACATCTTTCGATGAAATATTTTCATGTTTTTTTTTAGATKTATTTTGAATATGTTCCGATTGTTGGTTATAAACTGTAAATTCTTTGGATGAATCTACATCTATACCTTCTTTATTTTCGATAATATCCAAGTCTTCAACCAATATCTTACTAAATGAACTATTATTTCTTCGATGTCCTTTTTTTTGTAATTCTTCCGATTTTGTGGTCATTTGTGTACATACATTTTGAGAAATTCCATGTTCTGTTGGTACTGAAGATGATATAATTGTTACACTTTTGTTCTCATTGTTATAATTTTCATTTTCATTTTGAATAGTTGAGGTTTCAACAGATTTAGTATTTTCATCGCTGAAACTAAAACTGCATGTTCCAGACTCTGGAAATCCATTCATTGCTTCAACAACAGTTTGTATTGCTTGGCCTTCTGTACTCGATATACTCATACTGGCATCTTCACTAGATAATAATTTTTCTTCGTGAGATGATGAATCAGATAAACTGTCACTGGTTATATGTTTTGGTATAGGATGAAAAGTCATTTCATGTGATCTTTTCATTTTTTGCATATTTTTTTCACTATTAATTGCTGGCTGAGAAAATGGTTGAGTTTTATACATGCTACTGTACTTCATTTCGGTTAATTCTGCTATAATTGGTAAGGATTCTCCTCTAATTATATGCATTGGTATTTCTTGTTCATAAGGTTCTAGTTTATCTTCATCTTCTAAAATTGAGTTTGTACCTTCTTGATCAAAATCAAAATCTCCAGTTGATGCAATTAGTGTCTCAGATGCTTCACTGTTTTCCACTGAAGCAAGGTTTCCAGAGCTTTCTGAATCTAGTGATTTCATTGATTCTCTTGAGCTCAGCGAACTTATTGCGGTGTGGTATTCATTTGACGGTACCGAAACAGCAGATTCATACTCAGATGATCCAGCTATAAGGCCGTCTACGTCAGACGAACACGGTCTGCTAGATGATGTTAGGTCAAACGAATGATAATGGCTTTCACTTGAGCTAGAATCAGCAGGTTTTTTTGTTGAGAGTTTATTCGTATTAATTGAATCGGGTTTTCTTAAGACAACAGTTTCAAAATTTACACGCTTTTCTTCACGAATATCAATTGAAGACGAAGATGGCGAAGTTGGTGAGTGGACTGAGTTATCTTTTGAAGGAAAAGATTCCGCGCTTAATTGTTTGATTAGTGATTTTGATGAACATGGCTCAAAATCTTTAAATGTTACTTCGCTTTTATAATCATTCACTGTTTCTTTTATAATGCTAGATGTCACTTTGTATTCTTCTCGGTCTACATTAAATATTTCTATTCCATCATCTGTGGTTTTTTTCAAATGCTGTTCTTCTTTTATCAGTTTATCGTCGAAATCTTTGATCAATGTATCAATGTGTTTTTCTTTAGTAATAATATTTTCTGTCTTACTGTGTATATTTTGTTTACTTTTTACTTCAAAGCATTCTTTAGAGTGCATTTCATGACTATCATTTTCTAAAACATGCTCATCGATTATTTCCCCCTTTCCAGTGTTAGATATTGTACTTGAATTGTGAATGTTGTGGACACTATTATTATCATTAGAATTATAATGTGATCCTAGTTCTTGTGTTTCTATTTTTTGGTCATTTTCATTGATTATATTTTTTTCAAAAACATCGGTTTTAGTATCATTGTAGTGTTTTTGGGATATTGATTTATGATCAACATGCCCACTCAAATAAATATCTTTTTTTTGAGATTCTATTCGTTTATCATTTTCATTTTGTTGTTCTTTTATATAAGCTTCAATAATTAAATTATCTTTTGCATTTTTATAATATTCTTCTTTTTCATCATGTGAAGTTTGTCGAGATTCATTAATTATATCTTGAGTTTTGTTAGAAGGATTTGTTTTAGATTTTTCATCATCAGTATCGGGAATATTATGTTCAGTTATACGTGATTTTGTCAATCCTTCGTATTCAATTTCAAAACCACTACTTTTTAAGTCTTCATCAGTAATTTCAATACTTGAAGTAATTGTATCATGTTTTGAAATACTTTTCAATTGGTCCCTGGACTTTTTTGCTAATACTGATTCCATTATTTTTAGCTGCAAATCTTCTCCTTCTATATCTAAATAACCACTATTTTCCAGTTGTTTAAATTGATCAGGTGATATCATTAAATGATGCAAGTTTGCCAAAACATCATGACGTTTCGTAAGTTCAATTTCAATTTCATTAACTAATTGTTCTGCTATATTTCTAGCCAGTTCTTCAGTCATTTCTATTTTTGGGTTTTCAAGGGATTCAATAGAATCAACTTGTTGAACAAAATTTTGATGGAAAACACATCGATCTTTGATATCAACGTTCTCTAACTCTTGATCGTCCGTTCCAAGCTGAGTGACTTCCCATATTGTGTCTGGAATATGTTCTTCTGGAGTGTGAATAATATGATCGGGTACAGTTTTTAAACACATTTCTTTTTCGTTTTCTATTTCGTGATGTGATTCATCATCAATCATTGATGAATCAATTGATTCAGTATGTAAAATTGATTTTTCTTTTTCTTCAATAAATGAACAAGTGTCCGAAGGAATGTCATCAATATGATCTTGAGTTAAGCTTAACGAGTTTCTGTCTTTTGATTGTTTAGAAATAGCTTTGTTAATTTTTATTTCTTCTGGTAAATCATCAAGTACAGATGATTCAGCGGATTCAGTTTTCGTTATAGATTTTTCATTTGTATTTACAGATATTTTATCGGATGATGTATGCATTGAATTCATTGAAACGTTTTTTTCACATTTTAAGCCTAAATATTTTTCTTCAGGTATTAACGAATCTATTTGTTCATCTAATTCATTAGAAAAAATATGTTTATGAATTTGACGGTTAATAAGAACTTCTTGGCTTGGCGATTTTTGATGTGATGTGTTTTTCAATGATTTATGTTCAGGTGAGGATTCTTGTTCCATTTGTATTCCTTCCATTTGAGGCTTAATTTGCTGAATATAATTTTTAGATGAAATATTTTCAGTTTGATGGGATGGTAATGACAATGATCTAGTTTTTGTGTCCATTTTTCTTTTAGCTGATACTTTATCATCAAAAACATCTTCTTGAAAGCCTTCATTTTCAAAAGCCAATGATTCTTCTCCATATTTATTAATATATTCAGTTTCAGAATCTAATCGTTTAGTTTCTATAATAGAATTATGTTCTTCCTCTTGTGGTTTATGTGGTTGTTCATCGAGCAATTCCGATTTCAGACAAATTAACTCAGAAACTACATTTTTTTCTGTAGTTTGGTTATTTGTCATAGATTTTTTGATCATTTCAGGTATTTCTGCATAAGCAGAAGCACCGAATGAATTTTCGAAGAGTTCTAAAGAAGCATTGTTCATTATGGGTCTTTTTGAATTATTGTTGATTGGTAAAGAAATACTATATCTAGGTTTTGGTAGTGGAGGTTGATTAGTTTTGGTTATTTCTTCCCAAAATTGTTTTTTTGTAGTATAGTTTACATCATCTTCATCTAGAGAAGACGTAATACTACTGTCAATGGAATGTCTAGGATTTGGTTTAGGTGGGATTTTATCTATGGAGTTTTGAAGTGCTAAGTTGTTGGCGTTAGTTGTTAATTCTGGGCTGCGCTCTGTACACACAAAGACATACAAACAAAATACAGGATTAGAATATTGGTTATTTATACAATGGTTATCTAACTAACACAAACTCGCCAAAAAGATCAAATCCTTGGATATTTATGTTATATGGTTTACATTTTATATTGAAAAAAAAAAACTTTTTGTAGATCAAACATCTACAAATAAGCCTAATTTTATAGTGCTATATTATGTTGTTTTGTTATACGCTGTTTTATATTTGGACATAAAATAATACAATTACATAAATAAATCTATTTTATCGAAATCATATTATCAGAATATACAATTTACTTTCAAGTTGATTATATAATTCTCTCATTTTTTTCTATTGTTAGTATTGAAAGAAGCGTTATTATTGTATTTAGCTTCTAAATGTAACTTAATTTACCAGCTTCATCCCATATTTGGTTAGCAACATCGACCTCTTCATTTGATAATTGGGAAATAATTCTGTGATATTCTCCTTCGATAGCTTGTTTAGCGATTGGGCTATCTTCTAATGTTTCCGAAGCCATACGTTCAAATCTTCTCTCTACCCTCTTCAATGTTTTTTCTCCTATATCTGAATCCATTTCAAATTTCAAATCTTCTATGATACCTGCTTGATTAATAGCAGACATAGACACATCGCGGTCTACTACATCATTTTCGTTGTCGCTTTGTCCTGGATAAACAATTTCATCATCCTCTGATTCTAATCGAAATGTAACTTTTCTACTCGGTAATTTCTCCGGAGGTTCAGTTACTATGTATTCGTTATCGTTATCAGATTCAGTATCATCTTTGTGAATTTCTTTAAACGTAGGTCTTTTGTATGCTGATAATCTTTGAGAACCACCAACTCCATTTCTGCGAATTTTTGGAGAGGATATAATTGGTATAGGGGAAGGGCAATTCTTTGATTGTTCGACATCTAGAATTTCATGAGGATCTGAATCAGATGATCCGGAAGATAACTCTCCGGAAGCAGCTAATTTAGCGGTTTCTTGTTCAATTAACATATCTATAAGCAAATTAGTAAGTGTTTCATCATGGTTACCAGGATCACTCAACATTGTCTTTAACTTTTCTTGCACAGTATCTGGAGATATTTTGGAATAATCAACCGGTTTCCATTCGTCTAAGTGTTCATAATCATCGGGTACAGTATTCTCTGACGGAGTTCTAACCATTAATGGCCTTATTTGAGTACGATCGTTTTCTGAAAACGATTATTTCTCAAAAAATGCATACATTAATTATACATTAACTTCCTTACTTCTATTTTCTATTTTATTTTATTTTTATGTAAGGAATTTTAAAGGAATTAAGGAAATAGCGGTTAGTAGCTTAATGTTATGAAAACAAAATCCAGTTTCACACTCAAAAACAATACTCCTCACCTGTTTTATTTTGCGGTAGCCATATACAATAACCAGAATTTTGATTCTTTGACATTTTTGATATTGATTTTTTTTTCTTTGGAGTAAAATAACATATTTGAAATGATTCAGACAGTGAGTCTTGAGAACCTGATAAAAATACATGTCGTTCTGACAACGGCAAACAAGGCATAGATCTATTCCACCATCTGTATGGTAAACTCGCGGTATTAAAATTACCACGGAAGCTTGGTCCTTGAATTTCTGGTATGTTATTGGTTTTTGGAAAACCACAATGGTTTATTTTTTCCATAATGTCATTCAATGAATGTCGCACTTGGTTTTCTTGATTTTGAACATCATTCAATAGCCGATAAATCCTTTTTTGAACATTGTCTAAGCTACCAACTCCATCAGATGAGCTTTCGGAATCTGATTTTTTGGTTCGAAAATCATGTGTTGAAATATACTCTTGCTTTTCGACTTTATTTTCTAAAATGTTTACAGCCTTTACTAATTTCGCTAATTCTTCTCTACTGTGGCTAATTGCTGTATTGATCATTATGTTGTCAAAATAATATGACTTGTTGTGGCTGAATAATTCGTTGGAAAAATAATCTAAGGGTCATGTTATGTTCATTAAATTATTTACATAGTGAAAAAAAATAAATATAAAACCATATTTATATATATACATATTAATATATTCAATTTTACCATTCTATGATATTATTATATTTTTATAGTTATATATAATTGAAACACAAATATTTTAATTTCATTAATACTGTCAATTAATTAAATCAATTTAAAAACTAATGCTAGTGTCTAGTAAATATAATTTGTTATCTTGATTTAAAAATGTTTTCATTATTGTCTATTATGTTAAAACAACGTATAACAAAACGTATTAGTGCAAAATTTTACATGTTTAATATTTATTTTTAAGCATTCACAGTGATTCGTTATTCTAAAAAAAGCCATCTGATTATATTAAATAATTACCAGTACATTGAGCAAAGCAGGGAATTGGCGTTTAATTGGTTTCAATTGGAAATAAGGTTTGTTTTATCTTTTTTGCAAGTTTACGTAAAGAGTACGCTATCCCAGCATGTATTGTCTTCGTCTAACAAATGTAAAACATAACAAAAACTATTTTGCGCGGAAAAGAACCGAGAAGGCTACAGACATAACTAAGAAACAAAATTTCCTCTACATAAAATGAAAATTTTGTTCTTATTTTTCTATATTGTTATTACAAAAAGTTATCAAGTTTGAAAAAACACAACAATAATGGATTTTGAAACAATATAAACTTTTTTTGTATAAGTAATATACAATATTACTATTATAAAATATATAATATTTTTGTATATACTACAATCTCTTTAAAAATATATAATATTTTTGTATAAATAATAAAAATTATATTTCATAGATAACGTACTAAACTATATTGTATATTAATTTGGAGTTGTATAGTTATCACTACAGCTTGAATGGTTCTATACTGCGCAAAACAGTTGTTGCCATGTTGTATATTATCTGTTTGACCGTGACAACACATGAGGGTGTTACGTCCTCTTAAAACTGAGTAATGTGTAATCTTATTTTTTAAATTTAGTAATTATATTTTATCAATTCAAAACTCACCAGAATTATCTATAGACTTTGCATTTTGTTGTTGAGTTTGATTGGCTTCATTTCCTATAAAATAATTTAAACATTAAACAAATCTAATTAAAATTATAATATAAAAACCAAAATGGTTATGTTTAAAATAATTCTAGTATGTTAGGTGTCAGAAATCATGCTGGGTTGCACAACGGCTTAATAAACCTTTAAATATCTTATGTTCTTATAACATTAGACATTTCAAATACTTTTAGTTTCAGATTAAATGTGTTAAACTGTATGCAACTTAGGTGGTTAGTACACTATGTATGATAGGAGGTTATATAGTACAATTTTGATTATTTAGTGACTATTTCATTTTATTTTATGACGTACATAGTATTTATTTAATTGTTAGTTTAGTCCGTCACCTTTTTTATAATATAGTTGGTAATTACCTATTTTGGATTTTTTTTTGATACATTTACAGTTACATATTTGATTTAAATCGCATATCTTAATGTTACTATTCAAATTTGATAATTTTTTGAAATTGAATTTTCGTCTCAACTTTGGACTACCACACATACTTTCAAACATTTTTATTACATCAGAGACATGTTTTGTTGGTTCTAATTTAATTTTCTTCTGCTCTGTGTTTTGTTTTCTTTCCGTTTGGTTAAAAATTTTGAATGCTGATAGCTGTGTAACTGGTGAAGGGYGTAATCTTTCTACACTTGTAAATTTGTCTTTTAGGGAGTATACTTTTACCAGAGGATTTTTGACCATTGCAATTTGTGTTTGAAATGGTCTATTTATATATAACTGTACTATGCTTACAGGTTGGACGATAGTATATACAGCAATATACGTAAAATATCTATTTTGAAAGGTTTTAATTGTTCCATATGTAAATAAATCTACTTCAAATTGCCGTTTTGGATCATATAAGCTACTCTTAATATGATATCCTGGTTCTAATGGCTCTAAAATATTGTCATTATTATAATCTGATATGACCCTACCTGTGATTATTCCATCATTAAACCATCTCATTGATAAATTTCCGTAATCCCTACCAACGCTTAATAATACTGAGTTCTGGCTTTGAAAGTCGATTGAAATGCTAAAACCATTTCTGTTGTCATGTATCACAAATGTATTATTAATCTCTTGATTGTTGATTTTATTTGTTTTAATATTTTGATTTTGTTTAGGGATGGCCACATTATTGATGGTGGGTTCTGACATAAAATTTGATAATGAATTTTTTTTATTTTCTTCAGAACGTTTTTCAAAACTTTCTTCAATTTCTGAATTGCGTCGATTTTTAATTCGATGTCGCTTTTTACCACTATCTGCTTCAGCCGTTATATTTTTTTTTGATGTTAATAATCGGTTTCTATATTTTTGTTTACATCGTTCTTGTTTAACAGTTTCTACAGATTCCTCTACACCAATATCTATATCATGATAATATGTATTATTATTGTTTTTGATATACGATTCTATATCACCATGTTCTTCAACTATTATAATTTCTTCCTCAGATTCAACACCATTAACTTCTTCGTTTGGAGATTTGAGCCAAATAGGGTTTGACTCTTCGGTTGGTGATAATGTACTTACTGTTCCATCTTTGGAGTGAAATAAAGTTTCTCTGTGTGGCTGGGGAAAATTGGGCATTGATTCTAAAGGCTGTTCAGTGCATTCAACTTCATTGATTATTCCTTTATCATCTATGAAATTTTCAGTATCGGTAAGTTCATCTAAAATCTTATTGTGTTTTTCATATCCTTCATCTTCACTCAAGTCTTCCACATCTGTTAGAATTAAATAATCTATAGGACATGGTGTAAGGTTAGGAGTTCTTACATAGTATTTTTCCTCGTCTGAATCTGACATTACTTCAACATCTGTGTAGCTATTCAAGTCTGTTAAGCATGGAGAAAGTGACTTTTGTAAATGTGCTGTGATGGGGGATTTTAATATAATTCTTGATTTATGTCTGTTTGGTTTAGGAGAAACTGATCGTGGTTCATGTATCTTAACAATATTTTCCTCATTTGCTCCATTTAATAGATTTGTTACTTCAATATCTTCCTCGTTGGACTCATACGCAGTTATTGCGATCTGGGGTAAGCTTTTCTTGCTTTCTTCTGACATTTTATCAGATAGTAAAAATTGATTTGGTTTCGTMAAAACTAAATTCAACTCTATTGATGAATCGTCAAAAATAGTTGAATTTATCTGTGGAAATAATGTAAATTTAAATGAAATAACTCATTTAGAATTATAAATAGAGATTTTAAAGCTCAACCACATTTAAAAAATATATTTTGTTTCAATTGGTTCTCGTCATAAGGTCCTAATAAATTGTAGATATTAGTATTACCTACTCATAAGCCATAAGTTAGAAAAACAAAACAGGGCGAAGCTATGTCAACTGTTGATAAAATATGAATAAATTATTTAGAAGATTTGGAAAATTCGAGTATTGAGAAATTTGGTTTGGTTGGAATTTTTTCTCAAGCGCAATTTAATTTTTGACGTTTTTTTTTATTGAATTTCAAGAATTCAGTATCAAAAATAAAAGAAATAAACACATAATAAGTGATCGATATTATATTTTAAATATATCATAATTTATATTGACCTTATAAGTTTATTCTATACGTTTGTTATTGCATAACTAATTTATTAAGGTCATGCTATTTTTTTTTTAGATATTTCTTATACCAATTATGTTTCTTTTTCAAACACTATTAATCGTAAATAAATATAATGCGAAGAAATTCTAAGACTTAAGTTCAAGGTTATTTTTAAAATAAACTATTCATCAACTATTATACTGAGAGTATATTTATTTTACTGTTTTCTCTTTAATATTCTATACCACATATATTCCTTATTTTTYAAAACATTATATTGCATACAATTAGAATGTTTTATTTTGTAATGTGTCAATTGATACAATATTTTCTTGTGATTTCTTGTACATTTTGATGTGTTATTATTCAATATAGAACTTATAATCTATATGAATATATTATATGTGAGTGATCTTAAATTATACCTGTAGATTTTGAATTTAATATTCGTTTAAAACCATTCATTAAATTATATTTTTCATAAACACGTATACGGTAACAGCATAAAAACAATATTAAATAGAAGTTTGGTTGCCAGTGATATTTATCGATTTAAGTAACCATCTATCAATCTTTATAATTTTTAATTATGTGTACCCAACTCCCCAAGGGACAAATGGTAAGTAGTGTGCAATTTCAATTTTCTCAATAAACAATAACTGCTAATATGAAGCAAAAGAAAAAGGCATTTATCAATACATTAGGATTATAATATATTAATATTATGTTATTATTATTGTTTTATGAAAAAAAAATGTATCACCATTCACCAAAATACATTTTACTGTTTGAAACAATGACAATTAATCTGTATCTTTTTGTTAGAGGTACTTACATCTACGATGAACATATTCATCTAACTTATATTTGTTGAACTTTCACGCCTACGAGGGAGGAACCCATGTTGTGAAAATTGTTGATGCACTATACTCTTTCTACGAGAGAACATGCCAGTTATACGGATGTATTATGATGTATTATGAGGTTCATCGGCGACTGTGTCGTCTTATTCTCACCATGCTGTCAAATATCATTGACAACGACTGATTGTAGTATACCTAATAGAATCTAGTAGGTAACTAGATAATACAATCGGCGTTGAGTGGCACCGCCACAATCGCGCACCACCTATTGAGAATTTGGTCGAGGATGCGCAGAGCAGACCTATTCTCGTAATAACGTGGCATATCTTCACATGAAATAGAGTATAGTATAATGTATTGGTATAGAGGTTTGCTGTAATATAATTTATAAGTATGCATAAAATATTAAATATTATTTGATAATTATTTAAATGATTTGAATAAATTAGTCATATTTGTTTAAAAAACTACATATAAACATTATAGGTTTCAATTCCTTGGACTTAAAGATGTATTTAAAATACACTGTGGAGATTTTTTAGCTTCTCCAGTTCACCTTTACGATTTAAATAAACAAAAATAACAATGTAATTTTGTTTGTAGATATATTATAATACATACATATATACGTTTGTATGTAAATAATTTCAATTTTTTTTTTTTAATTGATGAAATTCATATTCACAATTTGTACAACCAGCTATTATGATATCAGATTCCATTGTAACATAAATTGTTCGATAGGAAAAGTCACCCATTGATAATACCTCACTAATTTTAATTAATTTCTGTAGTTTTATACACATTGCATAGTGTATAACTCTATACTATATGCTTGTAACTAATTATTTAATTAATAAATACTAATATTTTTCTAAATTTTAAAATGTTAAAAGAACATTTTACTTTTCGTAATTCACACTAATTGTATATTTATGTGAATTATAAATGTTGTTGTATTTAGGTTTACTTGTTGATTTATTTAAAAAAAATTTTATTATATACCTCGGAATCTCGATTGGTGTCTGAGGTTGAAGATTGTGTAGTTTCCTCATCATCTAATGATACTGATTCTGTTATAGAAGCAGGCTGTTGTTCGGACATTGATGAACAAGGAGAACGTTTTGGTTGCTCATATACTAATTCTACAGACGATGCACGATCTGAAGAGCTTGAGAAGACTTCTGAAGTAATTAACACAGAACTGATTTTTTTATCAGTCTTTAAACATCTGTGAGCCGGGCTTACTGGTAATGATGTCGGACTTATTTTTCTAGGTGAAGACATAAAATCAAAACTGCTTCTTTGTGGTGGTGCACTTAAGACTCTTGGGTCAGAAACAGATGAAGATCGTGTATCCAAAAGTGATAARTTATTTTTAGTTGGAGTTTTACTTGAATTATCTTTAACAGGTATTTTTGATGGCGATAAAGGCATTTTTTTTTGTTTATCTGATATACGTTGATATTTAGTTGAAACGTCATATGGCTTACTGTGGGCATAAGAAATATTTTCTACTTTCCTGTTACGGGATTCTGTAGATGCCATATAACTTTTAATTTTAGGCTTAGAAGATAATTCTGGTATTTCTATGACTTGTTTTTTTTTTAATTTTTCATTTACTGTACTCTTGTGGTATTTTTCAATTTCAGGTGTTTTTATTTTTTTATTTAATGTTTTATTTGCTACCGATAGTTTGATATTTTTATCTTGTGATTCGTGTGGATTTGTTGAAATATTACTTGATAAGCRTTTTGAATCTTTCAAATTAACACTTGAAGTTTGTTCAATTTTTGAAAAGTTTTTTATATTTGCTGTAAAAATTGATTTTGTTGATGATTCGTTAGATATTTTAGTTGAAGTAGTAACTTTTGAAGTTACATTTTCGCGTAATCTTTGGCTATGTTTGCTATCGGCATTAATTTCTTGACGAACATTTGATTTTTTTGTTAGAGACGTGTTTAAAGATTGGTTTTTAGATATGAAAGTAGAAGATTTGAAATCATTATTATTGACAGTTTCAGATTCTGATGCTAAAGATGATACATTTCGTGTTATTTTTTTAGATGAGTCCATTGATCTGAAATCTTTTAATTCTGTATCAGCTTTTGTTTTTAAGCTCTTTGAAGATCTGATAAAGTTGGATTTGGTGCCGATATTTCTACTTTGACTCGATGTATTATCATTTTGTATCGATGTTTTGGATTCAAAAGATGAACGAACAACCTTTGTGCTTTCAGATCTCATAACTTTAGATTTCTTAGATGTCGTGTATGATTTAGAAATTGTAGATGTATTAGAGCGTAATGAAGAACTGCGCATAACTCCAATAGTTTCAGGTTTGATAATTGGATTTGATTTGGTATCTTTTTTAGTTAATTCATTTTTAAAACCTCCTAAATTTTTTGATTTCTTAGAAGAACTGAAAACTGATTTTGTAATATCTGTTCTTCGAATTCCATACGATTTTTTGAATATATTTTCATCATTTATATTACTTCCAATCTCATCGTATTTATTAGAAACGTCAATTGAATGAATTGGAGGCACAAAATGATCAGATTTAAATGAGGTGCACATGGAAGAATTTTCACAAACATCAATGTTTTTCAGTTTTAGATCTGATGAACTATTTTCTATACATTTCTTACTTACCTCAAAGTTATCAATACCACTATCTTCAACTATACTAAACTTCTCACCACTTGATTTACCATCGACATCCTCAGATTCGTTCAAACTGTGATCAAACTCAAAATGATCTAAAGTTGTAGATGTTACATTCATAAATTCAAACAAACTTTCACTTAATTCTAGATTAGACTTTCCAAAAGTAGTATCTTTTTGTTCATTTAATAACCTATCACTATCAATTGTCGGTACAGTATCAGCTACCAAATTATTCAACCGAATTATTTCAGGGAAATTATTATCATCTTTGGTACCAAAAGAAGTATCATCATCATTAATAGATGTATGTGATGGACAACAAACATTGACATCAGTTAAAATCACTAAGGGTTTATTCGTTTTTGATTCTGCTTTAATTTTATCAAAATTTACAAATTCAGATTTATTATGAGAAGAATTATGTGAATATTCTATACTGCGTAAGTTAGAAATATCAAGTTCATTTTTGAAACTCTCTAATGAAAAATCCGTTTTCATATTATTAAATGGCCTCATCTTAGAATCAATACATTTATCTGGAATAAAGTCATTAAAAGAAGTATTAGCCGAAGCTTGATTATTAGGATTATTTTCAAAAAGAATAGATTGATAAGTCTGTTTTTCTGATACGGTTTCCTGTTTAATAATTTCCTTAGTATTAGTTTGCGATGAAAAGGATATGCTATTATTATCGTTAGTATCGGTAGTAATGAGTACAGTTTTATCAATTATAATTGATTCATTTGAGCCAGATTTAATTGGATCCATTTTTCTCCCTATATGTTTATCAGTTATCGTTTCATCAATTATGGAATCGTTTATTTCAGTTAACAATTTATCCAATTTACTTGGATCTTTCTCGCTCTTATCAGATGTTATGGAGTTTTTAGATGTAGATTTAGATAGACCGGATATATCGCTTGATGGTATGTCTGTTTGTTTTACAGTTTCTGTTGTTTCTTTAACACCAATTAAAGATTTATTATATTCTGTGGAGTCAGACTTGATAAGATCTAGTTTTTCCTCGATATGTAATTCGGTTACCTTTTCATGAGTTATA